CTTCTTCTTCTTCTTCTTCTTCTTCTTCTTCTTCTTCTTCTTCTTCTCTTCCCTTTTCCTGCCCCTGCTGCTGCTGCTGTTGCTGCTGCTCCTGTTGCAACTGGTACGACAACTACTAAGGCTATTGCCAACCGGAACCGAGAAAGAGTGATGAGACATCAAAGCCACCACTAATTGGCCCTAGCAGAGGCTATTATGTAGTTGTTTCTTATGAAAACCCCAGCAAGGCCTTGGCTACTAAAATAATTTTAAGTAGGCCAAGAACAGTGACGTAAAAACGCCTTCCAAACCACCGAGGTGTTTTGTGCGTCAAGAGGACCTTAATATAATACTATGTGTATCAGACCATTCACACTATATACAGACCGGGTATCGAGCGAAAGTAGGCTACTGGCTTCACAATAGATTATATCTGAAATATTATTATATATATATATATAAGAAAGGGGACACGGTGGAGTAGAGTAATTCAAAGAAGTCAGAGCGGGGCCCCTACAAAGAGGTGCATGTTGGTGCCTGCTTGTCCGCACTATACCCGTTCCCCCACCCTATTATCTCATTAACTCTACCTGTGGCGTGAAGCCAAAATCTGGAAACCGTGTCGAGGCCATGTACGAAGTGCACCGACAGCGACAAGTATACTACGTACATTGTATTACTAGTAGCAGAGCGGTTGAGGCGTACCACGCATGCACTTTTCCCTTCTTTTCGATGATTGTTGTTGTAAACATTATAACTATTCCATTTTATAGAAGGCTGACTTATAAACAGTTCAGGACCTCAATATATCAGCAAGACTTCATGTAAATGTGTTTTAGTAGTACACACTCAAGCGTAAATAATGTTGATATTATGTCTCAGGGTCTCGGTATTGTAAGGGTTAACTGTCTGGCGTGCCAGTCTACACGTGGCCAGGTAGACAGGAAATATCGTAGCCAACCAACCCCGGTTATGAAAAGACTGAACGTTGAATGGAAAGGGATGGCAGGTGAGAGATTCGAGGGGAATGG